ATGATGGCTTAGTCGCTATCGGCGATTACTCTTCAGGGCTTGCTTGTTCCCTGAAAGTATATATATTATTATTTGTAACTGAAATTAAAAGGTTAGGCCGGAAAGGCACATGGTAAGACAAAAAGTATCACATGCGCGTCTTTGATTGAGCAATCAACCCGTTCGTCCAAGGGTACATGAACGCCCTTCTATTCCAGAGTTGAGAATGCTCGTTCCCACCTAGCAGGAGCTATCCCCGCTGAAGCCTCCCTTTGTCTGCAGGAAACTAGAAGTTAGAACCGCAGGATGGTGACACGATACCCATCTCGTTCCTGATAACCATAAGAAGTCCAAGAGGACCGGACTATACCCTGTCAAAGTGACTTAGTTAATGGAAAGAGCGACAACATAGTTCATAGTGAGTGGCATAGCACATTGTGCTATGTGCAAATGTAGCTATTTCTCCATCTGTTCTCTCATCGGATAACTCGACAACAGCTTAATTATGTACACATAATTGGATAATAAAAGACTTGACAGAAAAAATGAACCAAATTCATCGCAGCGAAATGACTGCAAAAGCTCTAGATTTAAGTTAAAAAAGATAGAATTAAGTGAATGGCCAATTGCCCTTCAAATGTTGCTTGGGCTCTTACTGTAGGAACTTAGGCTTGCTTGCAATTACTCATGATAATTGCTTGTATTTAAAAAGTTTACTTCAGAAAATGTTTTAAATAGATAAGATATGTTGCCAGTTTTGTTTTTACACTCTATGTTTTATTGCATTTATATCATGTTTGATGTATATGTTTATTTATTTCTCTTCAGCAAGGAAATGGAAATGTTGCAAATGTCCCAAAAACATATATATATAGGGGATGGTGGAGGAGACACATGCGCTGAAACATGATATGGTAATCAAAATAGTATTCGGATATAAACCATATATATATAGCATTTCTTTAACATTTGATACCCAGTTTTTTTTTACCTAATTATAACAATCAGATAAACTTAATTCATATGTTTACCGTAAAATTATATTGTCAGTATTTATCAATTTCACCAAAACTTAATTATTCTTACGTATCGATTGATATACAATGCGGTGACGGCCCGAGTTTGCCGTATATAACGAAATCATTGCTTTGTATTGGCTCTAACATTTAAAATTCTTTTACAATATTTCAAGTGAATATGCTCAATTATCTTTTTGATTTGCACTTACTAACACCATACTCTCAGATGCATATAATATGATTGAGCCTACAACAGAATCAATAATTGCATATAATTTGGGTTTAAATCCATGTCTTCTGTTTAGAAGTAAAAGCAATGTTATAGTTTCCAGTAACAACTTCCTCATTAATAGGTAATAGTTTTTAGCCTTGATTACACCCTATTGGATACGCTGTCTATATTTTCATATAACATGCTGGAATATTAAAATTTTGCTTAAGATCATACATTATGTATTTACAAAAATACGTTTGTTTACATCAAGTTAACATATTATTTGAATTTAATTATGATTTCCACAATTCATAAAACATGCCAACTCTTTGAAATAAGTCAAATCTAACATTTTAAAAATATCCTAGATTTTCGTGATTTTGGTCACAACACGCTTCCCTAGCAAAGAAAAATTTACATAACTTGTGCATATACATTTTTTTAAAATACCCAGTAAGATGTGTGGTTAATTCAGTGTCATTTTAGATAATTGTACAAAAGAAAACAATGTAGAACAGTGAGTAAAAGATAAACTCTCTTTTAATGATTACTTTATGCAAAATTGTGTTTAAAATCGCGAAATCTATTATGACACATTTTGTCATCTGCATAATCGATGATTGGTGGTCAATTATATCTATCTACTGACTTATTTTTCCCTAAAATTTATACAGAAGAATACAAAAATGACTAAAATTCTCACCTTTGCACTAGAATGCTGATATTGAAGTAACTTAAGATCTTTCAACGAAAATATAATAAGCATGACGTCACCGAACGTGCAAAACATTAAAGTATGGTGTAATTTAAGAGACACATTTAAATATCGATTTTTACTAAATCTTTATGATCGATTTTTTCAGGATTCTGCAAGGAGATTTTTTAAGGACTTTTTTCTTAAAATGTAGATAATGTTTATCTTTATTTAATCGTGAAAACATTTGTGAAGGAATTAGTTTTACCATAATTTCTATTATGACTGGCCTTCTATGAAATTGTAACATTGCAGATTTTATTGAACAGAAATATCTTGTGGTAGTACTTCATGCCAAGCACCAGTATATTGTAAACCAAGCTTCCTTTTCTCTAAGAGTAACAGGGACTTAACTAGCAATCCTAAAACATCATTGTATAGATCATCTTTTGCAATGTGTACAAACTGGCAGAGCATTATCTTAGTTATTATGCTTTCTAACATTTAAAGGCTTAAATGTGATAAAAAGTTCAGATCACTGAAGTACTGGTATGTATAATAATTTTAAATGGGTCTAAATTGTCTAGTTTCTTATTGACATGACAAGTTCTAATTTCATAGGTTGAGTCTTTTATTTAATATATAATATTGTGTATATTGCAACAATGTGCCCATGGTATAAATTATAATATTCTATAGAAATTGGTTGTTGAAAGTCAGGTTGCCCCCTTACAGACAACAGGTTAACTCCGCTTTCTGTGCTCTTGTTATATATAATATTCATACTTAATACATTGTTATACATACAGGCTGGTCAGTAACTCATGTTTTTTGTTTTTTCAATTTACAGATTCTGAGGTTATAAAAGAGAAAGAAGTGTTTCCCAAAAGAGAACCACTATCAGTGGGGAAACAGTCAAATAGATCTGTAAACAGGACTGCTCATCATAGCTGAGCCTGTGATTGAATGATGGCTTAGTCACTATTGCGACTTACTACGAGGGCTTGCTTGTTCCTGAAAGTATATATATTATTTGTTACTGAAATTAAAAGGTTAGGCGAAAGCACATAGGTAAGACAAAAAGTACTCAATGGCAGCGTCTTGATTGAGCAATCCGTTCGTCCAAGGGTACATGAACGCCCTTTAGTTCCAGATGTTGAGGAAGTGCTTCGTTCCCAACCTAGCAGGGGAGGTAATCCCTGCTGTAGCCTCCCTGTGTCTGCAGGAAACTAGAAGTTAGAACCCGCAGGAATGGTAAGACACGTAGGCCAACATCTCTTTCCTGCAGAACCATCAAGAAAGTCCAAGAGAGGCCATATACCCTGTCAAGTGACTTCAGGTTAATGAGAGAAGAGGACCAACATAGTGTCACAGTGGTGAGCATAGCAATTGTGCTATTCGTTGAATATGTAGTTAATTTCTCAGTCTGTAACTCTCATGGTAACTGAACAAACAGTAAAGATGAAAATACTTGAATAAAAGACAAAATTAAAGACTTGACAGGAAAATTGAAACCTCACAACATCCTAGACAAATTGACAGAGAAATATGACATACTGAATGAACCAACAGAATTAAGACAAATATATGACAAGTATTATAAGGAACAACAGAAAGAAAAGACAAGAGAGTGATCGCTATAAAGACAACTTTGCAGACCAAATACAGACTTTAGAAAAACAGAGTGATGGAGTAAGACCCAGTGTTAGATTATTAGGACTAGTGGAATAAGTGGACAAAGAACAACTATCATACTGTTTACTGAGGACTTTAAGAATATGAATTACTCTGGAAAAACAGTCTTACGTGTAGATAAAACTTTTATGTAACAATAGACAGATTAAAGGATTTTAGAAAAGGGTTGCTTAACTCTTAGTAATAATGTAGATAAACTGTCGAGTGAAGTCAAGTGTCATGGGAACCTATTCCAGGAAATATCTCGGAAAGCAAGGGTCTTAACTCCAAAGAAGGTTTGTACCTCCTTATTATTCAAAGGGTTACAGTTTCTGCTTAAATAGACATTTATCCTGGAAATATTGTCTTACATGATATGTGGAATATTCAATGTCTACGATAGTTTTTTTCAGCTGTAAATTGGAGACATAAAGAGGTAATGCTATTGATATCATTTTATGCTGATCACCAGGAAGTGTTCAGCAGCTCTTCTTACAAATCGTTCAAGTATGGAGGAAAATCGCAGAAGAAATGACTGCAAAGACTATGGATTAACAGGGTTGCAATGTGATAAAAAGTTCAGATCACTGAAGTACTGGTATGTATAATAATTTTAAATGGGTCTAAATTGTCTAGTTTTCTGATTTACATGACAAGTTCTAATTTCATAGGTTGAGTCTTTATTTAATATATAATATTGTGTATATTGTGACAATGTTGCCCTGGTTAAATTATAATATTCTATAGAAATTTGGTTGTTGAAAGTCAGGTTGCCCTTTACAGACACAGTTTACTCGCTTCTGTGCTTCTTGTATATTTAGTATATATTTCATACTACAAATACATTGTCATTTATACTAACAAGCGTCAGGACCATGTTTTTTTGATTTTTCAATTTCAGTTCTGAGGTTATAAAAGAAAGAATTTTCCCCAAAAGAGACCACTTATCCCAGTGGGGGAAGAGTCAATCAATAATTGACGGATGTCATCATAGCGGTGCTGTGAATCAATATGGCCCGTGCTATCCGCGATTTACTCGAGGCTTCTCTTATTCCCTAGCGCCACTCCCAGTTCCATCCCTAACGTACCATGAACATTCTAGTTCAGAGGTCGAGAAATGCACTAGTACAAGACAAAAGCATTCAAAGCCATCAGGACTGTAGAGTCGACTCTACCCACAAAGAAGAGGACCCAACACTATTCATAGTGGTGAAAAGCATTTGTGTACTGTTAATATGTAGTTAACTTTCTCAGTCTGTTCTCTCCATGGTAACTCGACAAACAGTTAAGATGAATACCACAAGTAATGGATGAAATAAAGAGTTGACAAGAAAAATGAAACCAAATCATCGCAGAAGAAATGACTGCAAAAGGCTATGGATTTACAGGGTTGCAATGTGATAAAAAGTTCAGATCACTGAAGTACTGGTATGTATAATAATTTTAAATGGGTCTAAATTGTCTAGTTTTCTTATTGACATGACAAGTTCTAATTTCATAGGTTGAGTGTTTATTATATAATATTGTGTATATTGTGACAATGTTGCCCTGGTTAAATTATAATATTCTATAGAAATTGGTTGTTGAAAGTCAGGTTGCCCTTTACAGACACAGGTTAACTAAGCTTGCTGTGCTCTTGTTACAAATGTATATATATATTCATACTAAAAACATTGTTATACATACAGCTGTCAGTGACTCATGTTTTTTGTTTTTTCAATTTACAGATTCTGAGGTTATAAAAGAGAAAGAAGTGTTCCCCAAAAGAGAACCACTATCCAGTGGGGAAGAGGTTAAAATAGATTGTAACAGGGATGTCATCATAGCTGAGCCTGTGATCAATGATGGCCCAGTGGCTATCGCGATTACTCCGAGGGCTCGCTTGTTCCCTAAGGCTGCCACTCCCGTTCATCCCAAGGTACATGAACATTCTTTAGTTCCAGAAGTTGAGAAAAGCACATGGTAAAGACAAAAGCATCAGTGCAGGGTCAGACTGTAGAGTCAGACTCTACACCCACAAAAGAAGAGGACAACAGAGTGTCATAGTGGTGAAAAAGCAATTGTGATACTGTTGAATATGTAGGTAATTTCTCAGTCTGTTCTCTCATGGTAACTCGACAAACAGTTAAGATGAATACCACAAGTAATGGATGAAATAAAAGACTTGACAGGAAAAATGAAACCAAATCATCGCAGAAGAAATGACTGCAAACTTATGGATTTACAGGGTTGCAATGTGATAAAAAGTTCAGATCACTGAAGTACTGGTATGTATAATAATTGTAAATGGGTCTAAATTGTCTAGTTTTCTTATTTACATGACAAGTTCTAATTTCATAGGTTGAGTCTTTATTTAATATATAATATTGTGTATATTGCGACAATGTTGCCCTGGTTAAATTATAATATTCTATAGAAATTGGTTGTTGAAAAAGTCAGGTACCCTTTACAGACACAGGTTAACTAAGCTTGCTGTGCTCTTGTTACAAATGTATATATATATTCATACTAAAAACATTGTTATACATACAGCTGTCAGTGACTCATGTTTTTTGTTTTTTTTCAATTTACAGATTCTGAGGTTATAAAAGAGAAAGAAGTGTTCCCCAAAAGAGAACCACTATCCAGTGGGGAAGAGGTTAAAATAGATTGTAACAGGGATGTCATCATAGCTGAGCCTGTGATCAATGATGGCTTAGTCGCTATCGCGATTACTCCGAGGGCTCGCTTGTTCCCTAAGGCTGCCACTCCCATTCATCCCAAGGTACATGAACATTCTTTAGTTCCAGAGGTTGAGAAAGGCACATATTAAAGACTAAAGCATCAGTGCAGGGTCAGACTGTAGAGTCAGACTCTACATCCACAAAAGAAGAAGACAACATAGCGTCATAGTGGTGAAAAAGCAATTGTGCTATTGTTGAATATGTAGGTAATTTCTCAGTCTGTTCTCTCATGGTAACTCGACAAACAGTTAAGATGAATACCACAAGTAATGGATGAAATAAAAGACTTGACAGGAAAAATGAAACCAAATCATCGCAGAAGAAATGACTGCAAAAGGCTATGGATTTACAGGGTAAAAAAGATAGGAACATAAGTGAATGGCCAATGGCCCTTCAGAATGTTGCTTGGGCTCTTACTGGTAGGGAACTTATGGATTGCTTGCAATACTATGATAATTGCTTGTATTTAAAAGTTTACTTCAGGAAAATGTTTTAAAATAGATAAGATATGTTGCCAGTTTTGTTTTTACACTCTATGTTTTATTGCATTTATATCATGTTTGATGTATATGTTGATTTATTTCTCTTCAGCAAAACCATGGAAATGTCCAATGGACAATTGTAACAAAGAATACGTTCATAGGGGATGGCTCAAGAGACATCTAAGGATCAAACATGATATGGTAATCAAAATAGTATTCGGATAAACCATATATATATAGCATTTCTTTAACATTTGATACCCAGTTTTTTTTTACCTAATTATAACAATCAGATAAACTTAATTCATATGTTTTCCGTAAAATTATATTGTCAGTATTTATCAATTTGCACCAAAACTTAATTATTCTTACGTATCGATTGATATACAATGGGTGACGGCCGAGTTTGCCGAATATACGAACATTGCTTGTATTGGCTCTAACATTTAAAATTCTTTTACAATATTTCAAGTGAATATGCTCAATTATCTTTTGATTTGCTATAACACCATACTCTCAGATGCATATAATATGATTGAGCCTACAACAGAATCAATAATTGGCATAATAATTTGGGTTTTAAATCCATGTCTTCTGTTTAGAAGTAAAAGCAATGTATATAGTTCCAGTAACAACTTCCTCATTAATAGGTAATAGTTTTAGCTTGATTACACCCTATTGGATACGCTGTCTATTTTTCATATAACATCCTCATTAATAGGTAATAGTTTTAGCTTGATTACACCCTATTGGATACGCTGTCTATTTTTCATATAACATGCTGGAATATTAAAATTTTGCTTAGAAATACATTATGTATTACAAAATACGTTTGTTTACATCAAGTTAACATATTATTTGATTTAATTATGATTTCCACAATTCATAAAACATGCCAACTCTTTGAAATAAGTCAAATCTAACATTTTAAAAATATCCCTAGATTTTCGTGATTTTGGTCACAACACGCTTCCGTAGCAAAGAAAAATTTACATAACTTGTGCATATACATTTTTTTAAATACCCAGTAAGATGTGTGGTTAATTCAGTGTCATTTTAGATAATTGTACAAAAGAAAACAATGTAGAACAGTGAGTAAAAGATAAACTCTCTTTTAATGATTACTTTATGCAAAATTGTGTTTAAAATCGCGAAATTATATGACACATTTTGTCATCTGCATAATCGATTGATTGGTGGTCAATTATATCTATCTACTGACTTATTTTTCCCTAAAATTTATACAGAAGAATATAAAAATGACTAAAATTACTCACCTTTGCACTAGGAATGCTGATATTGAAGTAACTTAAGATCTTTCAACGAAAATATAATAAGCATGACGTCACCGAACGTGCAAAACATTAAAGTATGGTGTAATTTAAGAGACACATTTAAATATCGATTTTTACTAAATCTTTATGATCGATTTTTCAGGATTCTGCAAGGAGATTTTTTTAAGGACTTTTTTCTTAAAATGTAGATAATGTTTATCTTTATTTAATCGTGAAAACATTTGTGAAGGAATTAGTTTTTACCATAATTTCTATTATGACTGGCCTTCTATGAAATTGTAACATTGCAGATTTTATTGAACAGAAATATCTTGTGGTAGTACTTCATGCCAAGCACCAGTATATTGTAAACCAAGCTTCCTTTTCCTCTAAGAGTAACAGGGACTTAACTAGCAATCCTAAAACATCATTGTATAGATCATCTTTTTGCAATGTGTACAAACTGGCAGAGCATTATCTTAGTTATTATGCTTCTAACATTTAAAGGCTTAAATGTGATAAAAAGTTCAGATCACTGAAGTACTGGTATGTATAATAATTTTTAATATGTGTCTAAATTGTCTAGTTTTCTTATTGATCAATGACAAGGTTCTAATTTCATTAGGTTGAGTCTTTATTTAATAGATAAATAATTGTTGTACTTTGCAACCAATGTTCTGCCCTGGTTAACATTATCAATATTCTATACGGAGCATTGGTTGATCTTGAACAGTCAGGTTGCCCCTTTACAGACCACCAGAGTTACAACTCCGCTTTCTGTGCTTTGTTACCAAATGTACTATATACTAATTCAGTACTAAATACTATGTTATACATACAGCTGTCAGCTACCTCATGTTTTTGTTTTTTTCCAATTTACAGATTTCTGGGATTATAAAAGATCAAAGAAGTGTTTCCCAAAGAGAACCACTATCCAGTGGGGAAGAAGTCAAAATAGATTGTAACAGGGATGTCATCATAGCTGAGCCTGTGATCGATGATGGCTTAGTCGCTATCGCGATTACTCCGAGGGCTTGCTTGTTCCCTGAAAGGTATATATTATTATTTGTAACTGAAATTAAAAGGTTAGGCCAGAAAGGCACATGGTAAGACAGAAGTATCAGTGCAGCATCTTTGATTGAGCAATCCCGTTCGTCCAAGGGTACATGAACGCCCTTTAGTTCCAGAGGTTGAGGAAGTGCTCGTTCCCAACCTAGCAGGGGAGGTAATCCCTGCTGTAGCCTCCCCTGTGTCTGCAGGAAACTAGAAGTAGAACCCGCAGGAATGGTAAGACACGTAGGCCACATCTCGTTCCTGCAGAACCATCAAGAAAGTCCAAGAGAGGCCGTATACCCTGTCAAGTGACTCAGGTTAATGGGAGAAGAGGACAACATAGTGTCATAGTGGTGAGCATAGCAATTGTGCTATTGTTGAATATGTAGGTAATTTCTCAGTCTGTCACTCTCATGGTAACTTGACAAACAGTAAAGATGAAAATACTTGAATAAAAGACAAAATTAAAGACTTGACAGGAAAAATGAAACCTCACAACATCCTAGACAAACTGACAGAGAAATATGACATACTGAATGAACCAACAGAATTAAGACAAATATATGACAAGTATTATAAGGAACAACAGAAAATAAAGACAACAGAGTAATTGCTATAAAGACAACTTTGCAGACCAAATACAGACTTTAGAAAACAGAGTGATGGAGTAAGACCCATTGTTAGATTATTAGGACTAGTGGAATAAGTGGACAAAGAACAACTATCATACTGTTTACTGAGGACTTTGAGTATATGAATTACTCTGGAAAAACAGTCTTACGTGTAGATAAAACTTTTATGTAACGATAAGACAGATTAAAGGATTTTTAGAAAAGGGTTGCTTAACTCTTAGTAATGATATAGATAAACTGCCAAGTGAAGTCAAGTGTCATGGGAACCTACTCCGGGAAATATCTCTAAAAGCCAGGTCTTGACTCCAAAGAAGGTTTGCATCTCTTTATTATTCAAAGGGTTACAGTTTCTGCTAAAATAGACATTTATCCTGGAAATATTGTCTTACATATGTGGAATATTCAATGTCTAGGATAATTTTTTCAGCTGTAAACTGGAGACATAAAGAGGTAATGCTATTGATATCATTTTATGCTGATCACCAGGAAGTGTTCAGCAGCTCTTCTTACAAATTGTTTAAAGTATGGAGGAAAATCGCAGAAGAAATGACTGCAAAAGGCTATGGATTTACAGGGTTGCAATGTGATAAAAATTCAGATCACTGAAGTACTGGTATGTATAAGCACTGTTAAACAAAGTTATACAAGGGGTCTAAAATTGACTAGTTTTCTTATTTACACATGACCGGTTCTAATTTCATAGGTTAAGTCTTTATTTGTTATATAATATTATTTGTTTCATTTATTCCAAATATTTCATTATATCAGATACAAAACTATTGTTGATGCAAATGAGAAAAGTGGACGAGGTCGAAGAAAATGGGAATATTTTGAGGCAATGGATGAGTTGTTGGCGGGGGATCCATCAGTGAGGCCCATCATTGTTCTCTCCTTCACAACAGTGACTTTGAAAGATTCAGCCATTTCTTTTATCAGTAAAAATTTAAGTTAGTCTTACTGTAATGCTTTCTTACCAAAGAAATTCTAACATCGGCCAATATCGTAATAAATAGGTCATTTCCGGAACGTCATTTTTCATAATCTTTGGTTTTCAATAATTTTAACCAGTTTATAACCGGAATTTAGTACATAACGATAAAGGATTAGAGTTTGTAAATAATCTAATGCCCAAGATTTTGAAAAATTAACTTTCCGGAAATAACTATATTGGTACGATATTGGACGATGTCATATTTTTAGGGCGGGAAAGGATTAGAATGATTACAGTAAGACTACCTTAAATCAGACGACGCTGTTTCCAAGAGTCACTGAAGTACTGGTATGTATAATAATTTTAAATGGGTCTAAATTGTCTAGTTTTCTTATTTACATGACAAGTTCTAATTTCATAGGTTGAGTCGTTAATATATAATATTGTGTATATTGCAACAATGTTGCCCTGGTTAAATTATAATATTCTATAGAAATTGGTTGTTGAAAGTCAGGTACCCTTTACAGACACAGGTTAACTCCGCTTTCTGTGCTCTTGTTATATATATATATATTCATACTTAATACATTGTTATACATACAGCTGTCAGTGACTCATGTTTTTTGTTTTTTCAATTTACAGATTCTGAGGTTATAAAAGAGAAAGAAGTGTTTCCCAAAAGAGAACCACTATCCAGTGGGGAAGAGGTCAAAATAGATTGTAACAGGGATGTCATCATAGCTGAGCCTGTGATCAATGATGGCTTAGTGGCTATGGCGATTACTCCGAGGGCTTGCTTGTTCCCTGAAAGGTATATATTATTATTTGTAACTGAAATTAAAAGGTTAGGCCGGAAAGGCACATGGTAAAGACAGAAGTATCAGTGCAGCGTCTTTGATTGAGCAATCCCGTTCGTCCAAGGGTACATGAACGCCCTTTAGTTCCAGAGGTTGAGGAAGTGCTCGTTCCTAACCTAGCAGAGGAGGTAATCTCTGCTGTAGTCTCCCCTGTGTCTGCAGGAACTAGACGTAGAACCCGCAGGAATGGTAAGACACTTAGGCCACATCTCGTTCCTGCAGAACCATCTAGAAAGTCCAAGAGAAGCCATATACCCTGTCAAGTGACTCAGGTTAATGAGAGACGAGGACAACATAGTGTCATTATAAGTGGTGAGCATAGCAATTGTGCTATTGTTGAATATGTAGTTAATTTCTCAGTCTGTAACTCTCATGGTAACTTGACAAACAGTAAAGATGAAAATACTTGAATAAAAGACAAAATTAAAGACTTGACAGGAAAAATGAAACCTCACAACATCCTAGACAAACTGACAGAGAAATATGACATACTGAATGAACCAACAGAATTAAGACAAATATATGACAAGTATTATAAGGAACAACAGAAAAACAAGAGGGCCATGATGGCCCTGAGGTCGCTCACCTGTATATAGGCCCACCCAACCCCCATCCCCCAACGTTGCAGGGCCAATTTAACCCAAGGGCTTTTATTTGCACAAACTTGGTAGACACCCATAAGAAGATGTTTCATGCTAAACATCTAAGCTCTAGCTCATTGGGCTTTTTAAAAGAAGTTTTTTTTAAGTTTTTACTATACACATATAGCTAAAAACAATGACACCCCTGGGGCGGGGCCAGTTTTGACCCCAGGGCTTTTATTTGAACAAACTTTGTAGACATTTACTAGAAGATGTTTCATGCTTAATATCTAAACTCTAGCTATTTGGGTTTTTTCAAAGAAGATTTTAAGTTTTTGCTATACACATATAAAGAAAATCAATGACCCCCGGGGCGGGGCCAATTTTGACCCCAGGTCTTTTATTTGAACAAACTTTGTAGACACTCACTAAAAGATGTTTCATGCTTAATATCTTAACTCTAGCTATTTGGGTTTTTTCAAAGAAGATTTTTTAAGTTTTTGCTATACACATATAAGGAATATCAATGACCCCCGGGGCGGTGCCAATTTAGACCCCAGGGCTTTTATTTGAACAAACTTGGTAGACACCTATTAGAAAATGTTTGATGCTAAATATCTTAGCCATAGCTCTTTGAGTTCTTTAAAAGAAGATTTTTTAAGTTTTTACTATATGCATATAGGGAAAATCAATGACCCCCCGGGGCGGGGCCAATTTTGACCCCAGGGCTTTTATTTGAACTACTTGGTAGTCACTTATTAGAACATGTTTCATGCTAAATATCTAAGCTCTAACTCTTTTGGTTCTTTAAAAGAAGATTTTTTAAGTTTTTACTATATGCATATAGGGAAAATCAATGACCCCCTGTGGC